CGACACTTTGTGGACTGGCTTCTGCTTGACCTTGAAGGACACATGTCAAGTCATAGATATGATCAGGGAGGATCACTGAAGTTTTCTCAAGCACCACGGCAACTGAACAGGATCTCTACAGCGGCAACCAACAGCCAGGAGGTCTGCAACTAGTAAGTCGTCTGTAACCAAGGGCAGTCGGAACTACAGAGATCAAAGCATGTCTCAAGAGTCAATGTCAATAGAGATTAACAAGCTCAGGAACAAGTCAGAGCGAGATACCACAAGTCTGGGAGCAGTTAGAGTGACCAATGGGTGGTTGTGCCAATCAGTATCCAAGGTCAGTAGGTATGGGTACTTGCCACCCAGAACTGGACCGCCCACTTGGAGCCAGAAGGAACAAGCCTTTCTGTCAAGGTCAGGACAGAGGCAACCCTACGGGTCATTGAGATCCAGGATGGTTGAGGAAATCAGACCATGGATGACATTCCTAGATGTTCCGATGTGGACAGCCAGGTCACATTCAGCGTGGATGCGTGCACCACTGCCGGGCCAAGGAAACTTGCAGAGGGGGCCTATGGGAGGACCATGGACCCCTGGGATACAAGGTCAACACCCATCAGCGGTTAGTGTCGAGTTGACAAAACTAAACTGAAACCAACATTATTGTTAATGGAATCAAGACCAAGGCTTTGCTTGACACTGGAGCTACGATCTCATCGATAGCTGAGGCCTATTATCGACAGAACTTTCCTGATGTTCCCTAGAACCTGAAGCAGCTTCTTCATGTCAGTCTTGTAGGATTACAGTGGCGTCATTGTTGTTGATATAAGAGGATCTGGGAGTGCATCTACAAGATACAGTATGCTACTCGTTGTGCCAGACAGCCAATTGCAACAAGACGTGCCTATCACACTTGGGACCAACATCTTATCCATATACCTTAGCCAGTGTCAGGACAAATTTGGATGAGTTTTTCTCCAGCAAGCAAATCTCCATACACGTATTTAACGCCCCTGAATTATAGTACTAAGGAAAAATTAGCCAAAGGAACTACTCTATCGAGGTAAAGTTAGGAGCCAAGAGTCTGCTCATAAGATAATCCCTGCCAACTCGAAGATTCATATCTCAGGTTAATGTTGACCAGCCCTACCATATCATGCTACTCATGTCATAATTCATCCCACTACTGGATCACAGGTGGGCCAGGCACTTGGGCATGCCCCTTGTATCTCCTTGTCAGAGAGTGGTCAAGCTTCATGTCGACTGTACATGTATCTAACCTCAATACTAGAGCTATCAACATTCCTTGCCATAGCCTCTGTGAGTGCAAGTTGTCAAGTTGGAGGATGCTGCCAAGCTCTGCTTCCACTCAGGACTCTAGTGTACTTGACCTCTATGGACTTCATGAGTCTGCCGTCTCAAAGTGAGGAACTAGCACAAGGAGACAAGTCATCACTATTTCTTGGATATATCTCTACTGACACAGACCTATGACCACACAGAAGCAGTCCAGACCCAGGATTGACCTCAGGATGGCATCCCATTTCAAACAACGTTATGGGATTGCATACCACCTACAATGTCTGAAGAACCAAGGAGCACCTTAACCAACTTCTACTCTGTGGCGTCATCCAGGCGTTCCACGTTCCCACTTCAGGTCTTAAGACAGCCTAGTTAGAAAGAAGACAGGGAAACTGCGTCAAACAGTGGACTTTCGCCAGCTCAACCAGCAAACTATTGAGGGACCTTCCATTTTAAGGGTTAGAATGTTTGAGGCACTCTCTGGATCTAATTATTACCACTAGGTTGGATATAGTCGGGTATACCAAGTGGAAATGAAGTATTCATAAAAGGGAAAAGGCAGCTTTAGTTGGACCCTAAACCTATGAAATTGCCAACAGAATGCCTTTGGACTTTGTAACAGCCAGCCATATCAACGGCTCATGAACAGTGTTTCGAGGGACTTCTGAAAATCTGCTCTCCACCTAGACGATATTATGTCTTCTCATGTCATTTGAAAGAAGCAGCTGGATAGGCTAAAATAGATATTCAACAGGTAAAAACTGGCCTCAAGCTCTCCACTGTTGGTGTTTAGTTACTTCAAGAAGAAAATCAAGTTCATAGACACATCGTTCAGAGGAAGGTATTATGGCGGATCAGACAGGAGTCGAGGAAATTATGAATTGTACGACCATCAAGTCCGACCAAAGTACGACAGTTCTTGGTTTTGCGAATACTACCGAAATTTAGAGCTTCTTGAGATAGCCAAAGCCACTCTCAGCACTGATGCCTCATAGAATCCAAGAAATCATAGAAACCATTAGGAACCATGGCATTGGGGAACAGGAACAAGCTTTCCAACTATCTGAAAGAAGTGTCACAACTTCACCGCCAGTTCTGCGTGCCTAACTCACAGGACACCATTTGAACTTCACACAGATGCCGGTGGAAAGGGAATGCGGCGCTGTACTGTATCAGGAACAGAATGGTGTCCAAAGAAGGTAATCAGTTATGACAGTCGAGGACTAGGGAAGTCTGAGAAAAACCACACTCGGCACATCGTCTAGATTCCCTTGCACTCAGAAGTGGGCGTGTGTGAGAAGTTCCACGACTACCTGTATGGGCGAAGATTACAGTTCTAACGGACAACCAACCCTCTGACTTACGTCCTTACAAGTACGGTTGGTGCCACAGGCCACAGATGGCTAGCTTGGCTTGGAGCCTATGACTTCAACATATTCTACAGACCCGGGATTGAAGAACAGGATCGCAGGATACTTTGTCAAGGCTCCCAGAATACCAGAAGCTTTCCTCCCTGAACAGCTATGATGAAAAAGGACTCAGTCAAGGCAATCTGTGGGTTGTTTTGTGCCCAGCCTACGTGGGGGAATCCCTCTGCCTCTCAGCAGCATCGATTATTGAAGAGATCTCCACCAAAGTCAACAGATCTGAAAGGAATGGCTGAGAGGGATTGGCACATGGCCCAGAAGCGAAGAAGACTCTACTCTTAAGCCATGGATCAAGCTGTCGGGATGAAAGGAAGCCACACAGGAATTTCCGGCATGATGGCCAACACATCACTATTCAGGTCCTTCCAACTCACTTGTACTCGAAAGAGGAATCCTACATCAGCGAATCAGCATGGATGGAAGGGCAGAGCTACCTTCGACGTCCTCAAAGGTTCATCATGATGCATTACCAGGCCTTCTAGCGACGTGGGACACAGGACGTGACAGAACTCTCTCACTGCTCAGGGACCGTTTCTACTGGCCAGGGAATGTGGACACTGAGAAGCTGGATAGAACCTGCGAAGCTAAGATGCTTGGGGAGGAAGACAAAAGCCAACATCCAGGCTCCGTTGGTGTCCATCACTACCTCACAGCCTTGCGATTAGTCTGCATGGACTTCCTTACGTTGGAGACTTCAGGGTGGATTCCAGCACATCTAGTGATCTAGACCACTTTACAAGATATGCTTTGGCTGTCCCCACTAAAAATACAACTGCAAGACCACAGCCGACGCATTTTACAAGCACTTCGTGATGCACTATAGGTATGCCATGAGGATCCACAGTGACCAAAGACCAACTTCATGAGCAGAGGATGATGAAGAGCTCTGTTCTACCTCAAGGATCGCTATCAAGGCTACTCCTACCATCCTGGGGAGCGGCATGACCAGGTGTTACAACAGAACCTTACTCAGCATGTTTGGAACCCTCAAAGCCAGTGAAACAAGGCTACCTGGAAACATGTGGTGCACCTCTCGTCCATGTCTACAATGCCACAAGACATGAGTCCTGGGCTACTCCTTTCTATCTCATATTCGGAGGGAACCCAGACTACCAATTGATCTAGCCTTCGGAATAGAGGCAAACAAGGAACATAACAGTTTGACCTCCGTTCAGGCTCTAAGGACAAGACTGGAGGAGTCCACACAAAATTGCAACTAGAGCATCTAAGGATTCCAGGAGCATCAGAAGGCTGGTTATGATGTCAAGAATTGAACATTACAGCCTGTATAGAGCATGTTCTGGTGAAGATCATAGCTTTCGATGGCAAGCACAAACTTTCTGATAAGTGGAAAGAAGACCCGTACATCGTTGTTTCTCAGCCTAACACGCGGACATCCGGTGTTTGTTGTGAAGAAAGAACGAGAAGGAAGATCTCGGACCCTACATCGGAACCTACTTCCTACCCATAGGATCTTTGCCAGACGACTCTCAGAAGACCGAAGCCTGTACCACCTAAAGCCAAAGCCAAGAAAAGGTCAGCCAGGACAGTCACCAGAACCAACAAGAACTACGTAATGTGTAAGGAGGAGGACGAAAAGAAGAAGTCAAATTTCAAACCTTCTAGTAGAACTTCCTACAGAGCCTGATGAGTTCCACAGTTGTCAGCGCAGAATCTATGGGAGAGGATTCCATCTCCCCAGTTGGATGAGTGACGATCACAGAAGACTGAGGAGATGGGCACAGCGCAGCGATGTACATCATGCCGGTGACGGCCATCAGCCGAGGGACTAGCGAAAGGATCCCAGCACAGAGGATGTATCTGTCAAGGGAAGAAATGCTTGAGGATGAAGCAGGGCTTCAGTTAGAGAGCCGAGTCAGAGGACCCTAGCAGGAGAAGCCAGATGTGGCAGATTCAACTTTGTATTGTATATAGTTGTAAATATAATAAACATGTGAATCTTTTAAAGTTGTGTGTCATTATGATGAGATATACAATCTCATTAAATAACCTAAGTCTAATCATTTTATCAATAATTTTATATTCAACATTTTATATCACACCTTTAGCCCTTCTAAACATCAATCTAATCTTAAATGTAATCTATTTCAGCAATACTCATTTGCACTGCATGCTTTTCTCCCTGCAATCCCTTCTAAAGCTTGTCCCTTGCTCAGGCTAGTGTTTAATTTCTATTGTTCTCTGTTCAGCCAAGCGTATAAGGTATTAGGTATTTAAAGGTTAATTTCATCTAGTCTCTTGGTCAGTATCTTATGTGGTTGTCATCACGCATGTTGCGGTTTAGTCTCTAGGATCGAGATCATGGTGATCTGGACTGTGTTTTTCCCATGTATATAAGGTTAGTAATCTCTAATCTTGTGTATATATTTATTGTGATTTTGTGTGTGATAGTTGATGGTTATATTGGCTATAGTTTAAAGTATGTTCAATCTCAGTATCCACTTTCTACTATGTGTAAATATTTTATGTGGTGGTAACTCACAGTATAGTGAGTTATGACATTGTTATTAGTGTAGGTTGTAACTCGCATTAGAGTGAGTTATCATACTGTTTTCATAGTTTAAGTTTAGCTCACAGTACAGTGAGTTAGGTTAATGTTACGTTTTGACTCACAGAACAGTGAGTTGTGTAAGTGTTATATTATATATTTATAGCATTACATATAATCATTAATTATATTTCATCTAAGTATAATATTTAGCAATAATCTTATTTTCCATATTCCTATCACATTAAAGCATTATTACTATTAGCATTATTATAGCTACCATAAATAGGGTGCATGTGTGGATGTATGTGCGTATGTGTGGTTAGATGTGGTTGTATGTAGCTTTTACCGTAGTTACTCTTTTAATCATTTGTTGTAAATATCATCTGCACATGGTATTTCTTCATCCTGCAGATGACGTAAACACCAGCAGTATCACCTATGCATTGAATGCAGGAGCTCAGGTCATACCAACCTGGTATGTTGTTATCATTGTTATTTCAATTATATTTATTATTGTATATTATGTAACATCCATCATATTTGTAAATGTTTATAGTATTCATTTATATATCTGTGGAGTTGTCACGGTAACGTGTTGGCAACAGTAGTTATGATTAGTAATTATGTATTTGGATAAGTTAATTCACTTGTTATGTAGTAATGTGATTCCTGTCAATTGATTGTAAACTTATACTGCATTTTAACATGTTTCAGGCTAAAGCTTTTGTTTATTACATTCTTGTAATAAAAGTCCATCCGCCTCACACCCCAGTGGCTTTGTGGTTCTTGTCACAACAATAACTACATTCTGACGCTGCTACATTTTGGAGCCCCCAGTGAGGAACATGGACAGGACACCGCCATAGAAGTTCGGCCTACGTCAGCCACAGCAGATACAGTTACGACTACGATAGCCACGGACAAAGACGACAACGCCCACAACGTATTATCATCGTTCGGTGAATAGACTGAGATTGTTTTCATGTTGACGTGTGTGTATACGCATCATGGTGTGTGACCTCAACATATGGACACTTGTGTGACCTCAACATATGGACACTTGTGTGACCTTAACATATGGACACTTGTGTGACCTTGACCTCCCTGTGAAGTTCGGTCAGCTGCAGTTAATGTGATTTCATGCTATCCATGTATTGAATATTATTTCTGCATTTGTATATGACGATGCCTTAATTTCATTAACTTGTGGGTACCCCTTTAGTTTATTGCTCCGGAGCTAGTATATTATGTAATTTAAGTGTTTATATTCTACTGTGAATTTGTTTGTGTTGTCTTCAGTTAAGCATTAGTTAAGATTAGTTACTTTATTTAGTTGCATAAATTAATTATTAGTATCAGTTACACATCTGCTCTATACAACCACGATGTGTTTGTGTGTGTGAGTGTGTATTAGTTAGTGTTAGGTAATTAGTAATACTTTAGTAATCGGTAATTAGTAATTAGTTTAGTTTAGTTTAGTTTACTTTAAGTTCCATATCTTAATAAACCTGTAGGTTTAGTTTGTTTTAGTTGGTTGTGTTCATAGTTTAGTGTTTTAGTATGTAGGTTCTCTTTGTGGTTTAGTTGTAGGGTTTTCTTTGCGTTCATTTATCCCTTTGGTTATTTCGTTCAGGTAATTAAGGGTTGTATTTCATTGTTCGCTTCTCATATCTTCATTTCATATTGCTTGGTGCTATTCTCTCTTTATGTAGCGTATCATATTTATAAGCCCCTGCGCGCGTACACCTGCACTTTACTTACCTGCATTAGTTTATTATCTAAACACAAATTAAAGGTAACTCTAAACATGTAATTTATTTAAACTTATATTCGTTAAGGGTAAACTCCCATACCATTTACGTAAATCAATGTAAACATTCATTAAATCCTACATCTAACGTATTCTCGCGTGCTTCACTGTGTGCTTTGAAATCTGTTTTGTTACAAATTCTTCACGGATTTACAGTCATCAAGTGTCGCGTGTTGTGTATTTTTCGCGGATTTCGTGTTTCATCTACTCATCAAGTTTTCTAGGTCGTGTATTACTCAGTTGTTTGTCATTTGTATATTCATATTTATTCTCCAACATGGCTGAAGCGGAAATGTCAGAAGAGGAGGTTAAACAACTTGTTTTGTCACTGAAGAAGTTGGATTTGAAACCCAAAGCTGATACACCTCAGGATCTCTTAGCGTGGATCTCATCAGTTAGCAAGTCGACTCAGGAACATAAACCCTCTATTCCACCCACAGTTACGCTAGCTAAGACGCCACAGCTTCCATACTTCTCGGGAGACAGGAAAGGAGACGTCGACTTCGACCAGTGGAAACATGAATACACATGTCTCTGTACAAGATATTCGGAGCAAGATGTCATGGACGCCGTACACAAATCACTTCGTGGGAAGGCAGCAAGAGTCGCCATGCACATTGATAAGGATGCTCCATTGGACTCTCTCATCACCAAGCTGGACAGTGTCTTCGGGATGGTGCACACAGAACACAACATCATGGCCGAGTTCTATACTGCCAGGCAAGGAGAGGAGGAATCAGTTGCCGATTGGGAATGTAGACTTGAGGACATCTTGGATCAAGCCATCATGTTAGGAAAGGTGAAGCCAGGAGAAAGGGATGTCTTACTTCGCGACACTTTGTGGACTGGGCTTCGCTTGGACCTGAAGGACATGTCAAGTCATAGATATGATCAGGGAGGATCACTGGAAGTTTTTCTCAAGTACCTACGACAACTGGAACAGGATCTGCTACAGAGGCAACCAACAGCCAGGAGGTCTCCAACTAGTAAGTCGTCTGTAACCAAGGAGCAGTCGGAACTACAAGAGATCAAGGGCATGCTCAAGTCAATGTCAACTGAGATTAACAAGCTCAAGGAACAAGTCAAAAACGAGAGACCACAAGTCACAGAACAAGGTCAATATAACCAATGGAGTCAAGGCCACAATCAAGGTCAAGGTCAGGAGTATGGTTACTTGCCACCCAGGAACTGGACACGCCCATCAAGGCCAAGAGGGAACAAGCCTTTCTGTCAAGGTCGAGGACGAGGCAACCCTACAGGTCGTGGAGATCCGGGATGGTTCCAAGGAGTTCAGGCCATGGATGACATTCCTAGATGTTTCCGATGTGGACAGCCAGGTCACATTCAGCGTGGATGTCGTGCACCACTTCCGGGCCAGGGAAACTTGCAGGGGCCTATGGGGAGGGGCGGACCATGGGCCTAGGATACAAGGTCAACACCCATCAACAGTTAGTGTCCGAGTTGGTAGGCGAACCAACTGAAACCAACATTATTGTTAATGGAATCAAGACCAAGGCTTTGCTTGACACTGGAGCTACGATCTCATCTATAGCTGAGGCATATTATCGACAGAACTTTCCTGATGTTCACCTAGAACCACTGAAGCAGCTTCTTCATGTCGAGTGCGCGGATGGAGAACTTCTACATTACAGTGGCGTCATTGTTGTTGATATAGAGGGATCTGGGAGTGCATCTACCAAGATACAGAGTATGCTACTTGTTGTGCCAGACAGCCAGTACAACAAGACAGTACCAATCACACTTGGGACCAACATCTTATCCATATACCTTAACCAGTGTCAGGACAAATTTGGATCAAGGTTTCTCCAGCAAGCAAATCTCCATACACTTTGGTATTTAGCCTACAGGAGTATAGTGCTAAGAGAGAAAGAATTAGCCAAGAGGAACTACTCTATCGGTAAAGATAGGAGCCAAGAGTCTGCTCGCAAGATAATCCCTGCCAACTCGGAGATTCATATCTCAGGTTATGTTGACCAGCCCCTACCATATCATGCTACTCATGTCATAGTTCATCCCACTACTGGATCACAGATACCAGATGACCTTGACATCACACCCACACTTGTCTCATATGATGGAAGTGGTCAGAAGCTTCATGTCGACGTACATGTATCTAACCTCACTACAAGAGCTATCAGCATTCCTTGCCACGCAATACTCTGTGAATTGCAAGTTGTCAAGTTGGAGGATGTACCAAGCTCTGCTTCTACTCAGGACTCTAGTGTACTTGACCTCATGGACTTCAACGAGTCTGCCGTCTCAAGTGAGGAACTAGCACAAGGGAGACAAGTCATCACTGACTACTTGGATATCTTCTCTACCGGCGACACAGACCTAGGCCACACAGAAGCAGTCAGACACAGGATTGACCTCAAGGATGACATCCCATTCAAGCAACGTTATCGGCGCATACCACCTGCCATGTACGAAGAAGTCAAGGAGCACCTTAACCAACTTCTACTCTGTGGTGTCATCAGGCGTTCACGTTCCCCATGGTCATCCAACGTTGTCCTAGTTAGAAAGAAAACAGGGAAACTGCGTCTATGTGTGGACTTTCGCCAGCTCAACCAGCAAACTATTAAGGACAACTACGCAATTCCAAGGATTGAGGAGATGTTTGAGGCACTCTCTGGATCTCGGTATTACACTACGCTGGATATGAAGTCCGGGTATCACCAAGTGGAAATCGAAGAGACTCATAAGGAAAGAACCGCTTTTACAGTTGGACCCCTAGGCTTCTATGAGTACAACAGAATGCCCTTTGGACTTTGTAACAGCCCAGCCACGTATCAACGGCTCATGAACGAGTGTTTTGAGGGACTTCACCTGAAAATCTGCCTCATCTACCTAGACGATATTATCATCTTCTCATCATCATTTGAAGAGCAGCTGGATAGACTGAAGCAGGTATTTCAGCGAATTAGAGAAACTGGCCTCAAGCTCTCTCCTGACAAGTGTTCCTTCTTCAAGAAGAAAATCAAGTTCCTTGGCCACATCATTACAGAGGAAGGTATTATGGCGGATCCAGACAAGGTCGAGAGAGTACTGAATTGGCCACGACCATCAAGTCCAACAGAAGTACGACAGTTCCTTGGTTTTGCGGGCTACTTCCGAAAATTTGTAAAAGACTTCACCAAGATAGCCAAGCCACTCTCAGCACTGATGCCTCATGGGAAATCCAAGAAATCAAAGAAACCATCAGGGGAACCATGGCACTGGGGGGAGGAACAGGAACAAGCTTTCAACCATCTGAAAGAAATGCTAACTTCACCGCCAGTCCTAGCATACCCTAACTACGGGACACCATTTGAACTTCACACAGATGCCAGTGGAAAGGGAATCGGCGCTGTACTGTATCAGGAACAGAATGGTGTCAAGAAGGTAATCAGCTATGCAAGTCGAGGACTAGGGAAGTCTGAAAGAAACTACTCGGCACATCGTCTTGAATTCCTTGCACTCAAGTGGGCCGTATGTGAGAAGTTCCACGACTACCTGTATGGAGCGAAGTTTACTGTTCTAACAGACAACAACCCGCTGACTTACGTCCTTACAAGTGCCAAGTTGGATGCCACAGGCCACAGATGGCTAGCAGCGCTTGGAGCCTATGACTTCAACATATTCTACAGACCGGGATTGAAGAACACGGATGCGGATACTTTGTCAAGGCTCCCAGAATACCAGCAGCTTTCCTCGGAACAGCTATCCATGGACTCAGTCAAGGCAATCTGTGGAGTTATTCATGCCCAGCCCTACGTGGAATCCCTCTGCCTCTCAGCAGCATCGGTTGATGAAGAGATGTCCACCAAGTCAACAGATCTGAAAGGAATGACTGAGAGGGATTGGCGCATGGCCCAAGCCGAAGACTCTACTCTTAAGCCATGGATCCAAGCTGTCAGGATGAAGAGGAAGCCACACAGACAGGAATTTCCGAGCACGATGGCCAACACATCACTATTCAGGTCCTTCAACTCACTTGTACTCGAAAAAGGAATCCTACATCGGCGAATCAACATGGATGGAGAGACAAAACTACAACTTGTACTTCCATCAAGGTTCATCCATGATGCACTGCAAGGCCTTCATAACGACGTGGGACACCCAGGACGTGACAGAACTCTCTCACTGCTCAGGGACCGTTTCTACTGGCCAGGAATGCAAGCGGACACTGAAAACTGGATAAGAACCTGCAACAGATGCTTGAGGAGGAAGACACCAACCAACATCCGAGCTCCGTTAGTCTCCATCACTACCTCACAGCCTTTGGAATTAGTCTGCATGGACTTCCTTACGTTGGAGACTTCCAAGGGTCACAGACCACTTTACAAGATATGCTTTGGCTGTCCCCACTAAGAATACAACTGCCAAGACCACAGCCGACGCATTTTACAAGCACTTCGTGATGCACTATGGTATGCCCATGAGGATCCACAGTGACCAAGGAGCCAACTTCATGAGCAGGATGATGAAAGAGCTCTGTGCTACACTCGGAATCGCCCAATCAAGGACTACTCCCTACCATCCTATGGGGAACGGCATGACCGAGCGTTACAACAGAACCTTGCTCAACATGTTGGGAACCCTCAAGCCAGAACAGAAACAAGACTGGAAATCATTTGTTGCACCTCTCGTCCATGCCTACAATGCCACAAGACATGAGTCCACGGGCTACTCCCCTTTCTATCTCATGTTCGGAAGGGAACCCAGACTACCAATTGATCTTGCCTTCGGAATAGAGCTAAACAAGGAACATAACAGTTTGACCTCCTACGTTCAGGCTCTAAGGACAAGACTGGAGGAGTCCTACAAAATTGCAACCAGAGCATCTAAGGATTCCCAGGAGCATCAGAAGGCAGGTTATGATGTCAAGGTCAGGGGAGCTACATTACAGCCTGGAGAGCGTGTTCTGGTGAAGATCCTAGCTTTCGATGGCAAGCACAAACTTTCTGATAAGTGGGAAGAGGACCCGTACATCGTTGTTTCTCAGCCTAACATGGACATCCCGGTGTTTGTTGTGAAGAAAGAACGAGGGGAAGGAAGATCTCGGACCCTACATCGGAACCTGCTTCTACCCATCGGATCTTTGCCAGACGACTCTCAGAAGACCAAGCCTGTACCACCTAAACCAAAGCCAAGAAAAAGGTCGGCCAGGACAGTCACAGAACCAACAGAAACTAATGTGTCGGAGGAGGACGAAATAAGGTCAATTTCAAGCCTTCTAGTAGAACTTCCTACAGAGCCTGATGATTCCACAGTTGTCAGCGCACAATCTATGGAAGAGGATTCCATCTCCCAGTTGGATGGTGACGATCTGAAGACTGAGGAGATGGGCAGCGCATCTTCTGATGGTGACGGCCATCAGCCGGGGACTAGTGACGATCCCAGCACAGAGGATGTATCTGTCAAGGAAGAAATGCCTGAGGATGAAGCAGAACTTCAGTTAGAGCCGAATCCAGAGGACCTAGCAGGAGAAGCCAGAACTCCTGACTCGCCTCCAGTCCGAACCAGACCTACACCTAAACCACCACCAAGGACTTCACGTCGTGAGAGGAGACCACCGGAATGGCAGCGCTCAGGGGATTACGTCATGAGCCAGACGACAATCAACGACTGGGACGATAGATCCGACCTAGTAGAGCGCTTGGCCTCAGCAGGTGTGTTCGAGCAATTTGGTGGTGCTATGTCACAGTTTGTTGTGAACCTTCTTCACTCAAGTAAATGACGAGGACGTCATTTGTGTGGAGGGGGAAGTATGTGGCAGATTCAACTTTGTATTGTATATAGTTGTAAATATAATAAACATGTGAATCTTTTAAAGTTGTGTGTCATTATGATGAGATATACAATCTCATTAAATAACCTAAGTCTAATCATTTTATCAATAATTTTATATTCAACATTTTATATCACACCCTTAGCCCTTCTAAACATCAATCTAATCTTAAATGTAATCTATTTCAGCAATACTCATTTGCACTGCATGCTTTTCTCCCTGCAATCCCTTCTAAAGCTTGTCCCTTGCTCAGGCTAGTGTGTAATTTCTATTGTTCTCTGTTCAGCCAAGCGTATAAGGTATTAGGTATTTAAAGGTTAATTTCATCTAGTCTCTTGGTCAGTATCTTATGTGGTTGTCATCGCGCATGTTGCGGTTTAGTCTCTAGGATCGAGATCATGGTGATCTGGACTGTGTTTTTCCCATGTATATAAGGTTAGTAATCTCTAGTCTTGTGTATATATTTATTGTGGTTTTGTGTGTGATAGTTGATGGTTATATTGGCTATAGTTTAAAGTATGTTTAATCTCAGTATCCACTTTCTACTATGTGTAAATATTTTATGTGGTGGTAACTCACAGTATAGTGAGTTATGACATTGTTATTAGTGTAGGTTATAACTCGCATTAGAGTGAGTTATCATACTGTTTTTATAGTTTAAGTTTAGCTCACAGTACAGTGAGTTAGGTTAATGTTTTTTGACTCACAGAACAGTGAGTTGTGTAAGTAAGTGTTATATTATATATTTATAACATTACATATAATCATTAATTATATTTCATCTAAGTATAATATTTAGCAATAATCTTATTTTCCATATTCCTATCACATTAAAGCATTATTACTATTAGCATTATTATAGCTACCATAAATGGGTGCGTGTGTGGATGTATGTGCGTATGTGTGGTTAGATGTGGTTGTATGTAGCTTTTACCGTAGTTACTCTTTTAATCATTTGTTGTAAATATCATCTGCACATGGTATTTATTCATCCTGCAGATGACGTAAACACCAGCAGTATCACCTTTGCATTGAATGCAGGAGCTCAGGTCATACCAACCTGGTATGTTGTTATCATTGTTATTTCAATTATATTTATCATTGTATATTATGTAACATTCATCATATTTGTAAATGTTTATAGTATTCATTTATATATCTGTGGAGTTGTCACGGTAACGTGTTGGCAACAGTAGGTATGATTAGTTATGTATATACATGTACGTGTGTGTTTAATTAAGTATTTGGATAAGTTAATTCACTTGTTATGTAGTAATGTGATTCCTGTCAATTATTGATTGTAAACTTATATTGTCATTTTAACATGTTTCAGGCTAAAGCTTTTGTTTATTACATTCTTGTAATAAAAGTCCATCCGCCTCACACCCCAGTGGCTTTGTGGTTCTTGTCACTACAATAACTACATCCTGACGCTGCTACATGGCCGAAACAAAGTGAAATTATTTGCTTAAATTGAAAGTTGCAGACAGACAATTTTTCAGGTCCATGAGTCCATATATGTTAGACATATACAGTGAACAACTTAGATGCCAACATAGCAGGGCAAGTTCGGTACAACTTTACTGAAAGCCAAAATTGGTGTGGTTGGCCTTCAACATGAACAAGAACTGGGATCTCAAATCGTGAAATCAGTGCTTTCTTTTGAAACTATTCGTCTGGGTGTTTGTTCCAAGACCACCCATTCACACATCAAGATAAGCACCATTATATCTGAAAACACACCAGACTAATCTGTAATTTATACATTGTTTATTTCCACATGCCTATTACCAGGGAGTTTATAGGGGTTTGACTCGCTGGTATTATAAACAGTAGGTAAACATGGTAAATACAAGTGACAAAGAGTATGGTTTCATGCTGTTTTTCGCCATATTTCAGTATCATCATGACAGGGAACTGGAGAAATTGGGTTCACGCTTTGTTCCCATGGGTGGAGTCGAACCCCGATCTTTGGCATGATGAGCAAACACATTAGCTGATGGGCCACCCACCCCAACACCCAAACAATAAAGAGACTATATGTATAACAATCTCTGAATGACAGATAATGTTAGAACCCACAGTGCATCCAGAGGGATGAACGTTGGGCTCCAAATCTGTAACTGAAAACATCACAGGTACACCTGTCATTTTGAAGGAATAAATAAAATTGAAATGACTCGATGCTCTACCCTTGGAAACTTAATTATCCTGAATCTTGTTGGAACATGCTGCAAGTTCTGGTATGCTCAGCATAGATTCTGTTTTCAAAATGGTACAAATAAAGCACACAACACATATATATGTTACAGCTGACAAGGAAGAATGTATATTACAATGACAAAGTGCACTGTACAATATAAAATAACCAAATTCAATGAAATGAATATATCATAATACCTTATTACAAATCTGAAGAAACTTTTACATATAAATGTGTTTACATAGTTTACTTTTAATTAATGGACATATTTGATATGGTGATGTTTCCTGACTGGATGAAAAACATGCACTTGAAAAACCCAACATCACTGTAGCACCTGCTTTTCTACAAAATCTGCAGTGGATCAGCTGAATTTTTCCAAATGAAACTTTTAACAAGGTTTACATCTAATTCTGCAGCAGATGAACATTCTTTCTAGAGAATAACTACAAAATGAGGAGACACGATGGAAACTGACATGAAATCAGCCGTGAAATGAACATCCATACAGTCTCCTTAGTTTTGAAAATTTCGTCATCAAAACATTTACATTTACACATCATGCAGTTCACATATTGGGCCCACATCTTTGTATTTACAGCACATCAATCACTGTCCTGACATGCTTCACAATCCAACATTTACTTATATGTTCACCTCATGTCAGTATTACAAGCATGGAGGAATAACTATATTTGCCCAGGTATTTCTTCCAATGTATCTTGAACCATATATTGCATTCAGTATTTTCTGAACAATTAGTACATTTTTCTGTGAAATTAAAGAGTTTCAGAATATGCTTGGATTTTTTACATGAAATGGAACTTGCCATTACTTTGCAAGAGATACTTATTTTCAAATCTCAGCAATGAACAAACTGAACCCTTTTACTTGGCACAAAAGAGAACATAACTTTCTGAATTTTAAAATGATGCCACTAGTTTCCTTTCAATGAAAACAATACATCTTTGACATGTTGAAATAATAATGTTGATGAAAATGGCATATTAAATCAATATAGGAAAGCTGCATAACAAAGAAAAAGCACTATCCTATATGGCTCGATTATTTTTCTCCAGTACTGATCAATTCTTCTTGCCAGTCTATTTGCATTCTAACCCAACATTTCTTTATTTTATCCTTGCAGTGTTTCTTCAGCATTTCTGTTTTTCAGAAAAGGCATTCATCAACATGATCAAGATAATACTATCTTTACTTTCTAATGGATTCACCTAAAATCACAAAAAGAAAAGGGATAATTTTATTTGTCATCACAGTCATATGAAAGATGACATGATTTCCGTAAAGGCACACTGATGAACATTCTCATCCAGTACTTGCTGGATATGTGCAAACCAATAGTCACACGTCACCAATGTAACATTCTTCTGTTATCCAAACACAAGCTTTAGTAATATCACAGCTACGTTGATTCCTATTAAAGGTACTGAAAAAAGAGAAAAATACAGACATTCAATGTACTGAAATAACAAGGACTGACATTCTATCTGTTCTAGACTAATCTCTGCACAGGTGTGGGAGACTAAGATTTGCTTACAGCTGTGTTTACAATTTAAGGCAATTTCGGAAACATAATAAAAGAATATTTAAAAAGATTCCTGTAAAACAAGATACTTGGTTGATGTTGTACTATTTGTGTGTCTTACACTTCATGAAACATGACATATCGCAAAGAACCTAAAATAACTTTTAATTATGCATATTTAGTATGTCGTTGTACTCCTTGTTAACCTTTAAAAGCAAGCATATGTATGGTGGTAACCAAAACTAACCCAGAATCATATTAGGGGCTCAATCAATGAATCAGTCTAGCACATGAACTAGCACCATTCAAGCTGTATCATTGCAGCCTGTATGCTGACCCGGCAACCCAATGTTAGGTAGCATGTGCATCGATCAACAAACCTCGGAACAATAACATATCAAGTGAACAACCCAATCCCCATCTTGGCCAAGTCCTGGGACAAACATGACGTACCACATGTACCTGAGTCCTCGGGACACCAGAAATGGGACACACACATTGTAGCCATGTAGGGAATCAAACCCGTATTTTGGCGTGATGAGCGAACACGTTAACCAATAGGCTACCCCACTGCCCCCATTAAGGTAAAAATAAATATTAGTTTGGTAAATTCATGCAAAAGCCTAGTTGCCACTAGCTTTTATCAAACTTGCCCATTTAAAAAAACAACTGTTTTTGGACTTACTCCTCATAACAGTTCTAATTGATCTAATAAGGTTGAGCATTTGTGTCTTCATTCCAGGCTCCTCTCCAAATCCTCGCTGGTCAGCACCCCATCCAACTGGAACATATAAATATTTTAACACTTGTGATTAATTCATATTGACCTTATGAAGTGAATGTTTACCATACTATCTACTTGCCTATCCTCTCATAAACTGTCTTAGAACAGTTAAGATGACATTGGTGATCTATCGAGGGATAGCTGATTGGGTGGTACTTAAGCTGGGTGTCCATGAAAGAACTACAGTCGTAATATTTTAGAGTGTTCTAGAGATGTGTACAAACAGCTTTACTCTTCCTTTCCATCATAACCATGAGAAAAACACCCTTGTAATATCTAAATACGCCACAATTCATTCTAGTGGTTTACGTAATATAATTAGATTCGGGGCGAAAACAACTTGTCCCGCTTATCTTGAACTTACATACTGGTGGCTATGTGTATTCCTGATGGCAGCTAAAACTGCACAATCAATATAGCTGAACCAAACCTGGGTACTCGACGATATTGTCGTAGTTGCTACGAGATTGCTGATGCTGTGTTAATCAATACGCGGCAATTTTTTTTTTACTTTTTGCTGGGGAAATGCATGACACTGTCACAGTTCATTGACTCATATTGGCGACTAAAGGGTAAGACTTCTGCCCGTATCCCCCTAAGTCTTAAGGATGAGGAAGAATTTCTTTGAGAGGCAGTTTCAGAAGTTGGACATGTCTTTCAGTATGTTCAGATACAGTTGAAGAAACATCCTTATCAGATGAGGAATACATATTCAGGTGATATGATTTGACTAGAATGAAATTTAAGGGGGGATACGGGCGGAAGTCTTTCCATACATATTATATTTTGACAAAATGTCACGTTGACATGTTTCAGCTATGATAGCGTTATAATCTGTTGAATATGCAAACTAAACAGATGTCCAGTCGCCAGTTGCTGTTTGTCGTTTTCACTCTTTTTGTTTCACTCCATAAACATACCGACTGACGTGTATTGTACGGCTTTTATGACATTTGTAAAGTACTTTACAACTCACAGATAACGTGAAAAATATACCTTTGGCAAGAAATCGTTCCTCGTGTAAAACACACACTGCATTTAAACATAAAATCACAGCCTCTATCAAACTGTACAACGTGAACGCCATGTTGGCAGCGGAAGTATTCGTCTGCAATGGAGAAATTATTTTGTATTTTGTTTACATTATATTTACAATACATTGTGTATCATTTTAAAGATGTAGATCACATAAATAGTTATTAACGATTATATTTTGTAATAAAAGTTGTACAAATGAGTTTTCTCCGCGTAAATCTAGCAAAAACTCACCGTTTGTATTTATTGTAACGAAGGGCTCCCTCATGTGGCCGTGTTTACGCGCCGTGTTTACGCGTGTCGAGTACATGTTTTGCCTATCGTTTTGCCATGCAACGAGTGTACAACGAAGAAAATGTGTGAAATAGGAGCATTAACGCGATTCAAATTATTTATTAGTGAAATGATTTAGGCGCATAGGCGGATCCAGAGGGGAGTGCAGGGATGCGCACCCCACCTTTTGCCCTGAACGTTTATTAAATGACCATTGAAACTCGGGTGAAAATGAAGTGTGCACCCATCCTTTTCTCAATAATGTGCACCCCACCTTTCTCAAAAAGCTGTATCCGCCCCTGATGCGGGCACTAACCCTGGCGATTGTAACGTTGCTTTACTGCATTGAGTAACGAGTTTTCAAGTATTGTCGATATTAATAATGTACAGCTTCAAATTACGTACACACTTAGAACATCGGATATCTTTACACACTTTAAAGGTAATTTGCAACGCACGATCATTAGCAAATGCATACCTTTACGTCATAAATGTGATAAAGGCGTTAATGAAGATAGATTCAGTGTATTTACTGTTCGTAAAGGTATAAATTAGTGAAGTATTGTAATGCGAATCAGAAACTTATGTACAATGTCCAATACCATGTTTTACAAAACGATCATGTTAATGTGCTCATTGCTTTGTATGTCCAAATTCATTTCCACACTGAAACGCATACAATCAGTGGCGGATCTAGAAGGGGGGGGGGGGGGGAAGGAGGTGTGGGTGTGTGTGTGTCAGCCCCCTGAAAGTGACTAAAAACCACATTGAAGTTAATGTTTTGCAATGGCGGAGCCAAGGTGGGGTTCAGGGGGGTTAACACCCCCCACCCCCCTTGATAATTTCTGGATCCGCCTATGTATAAAGAACATAAACGTATGCTAATGTGAAACACAACACCTTCAGGTTGAAATCAGCTTGTTTTCTGTGGTAATACGAAGACAGATTATACTGCCAGTGACGTTGTATCAGGTTGCATCGAGTCGAATTGTGTTTTATCAGGAGTATGTCGCCACCCAACACAATGACGTTGATCGGTACAATTGTTTGTCAGAAAACACATAGCTCACTGTGCAAATATCTACACCCCGTGTGGAAATCGGTCACGAAGAAACTATTTTGATTACATTAACGGGGTGATCGGTAGAGCTTGTGAAAATTGATGAGATCTTTGAGATAGATACAGACGTCATTGCCATAAAATGCAGTCAGACGAATAATTCTGTATTCAATGCGCTGTTTTATGGGTAACCAGTGGAGGGATTGCAGAGTTGGGGATATGTGGTCAGAGCGTCGAGAACGAGTAATGGGGCGTTTTGAATTCTCTGAAGGTTAGTTAGCAGACATACTGGGATATTGAAGCAGTGAGAGAGTGAGCGAGTTTAGTTTTACGCCGCACTCAGCAATATTCCAGCTATATGGCGGCGGTCTGTAAATAATCGAGTCTGGACCAGACAATCCAGTGATCAACAGCATGAACATCGTACTGCGCATTTGGGATACGATGAAGTGTGTCAACCGAGTCAGCGAGTCTGACCACCCAATCCCGTTAGTCGCCTCTTACGACAAGCATAGTCGCCTTTTGTGGCAAGCATGGGTTGCTGAAGGACTTTTCTACCCCGGATCTTCACGGGCCGGATATTGAAGCAGAGATTATTGCAGTAGTGTAGTCGTGATGTAACAAGAGTTTGCAACAAGAGCTTGATTGTTTCTGTGTTATTGAGAAGATATCATGTCCGACTTATGTCTTGCTTTTGGAGAACAAACCCTAAGCATTTGACATTTGACTGACGTGTTAAAAAATTGCTCCACGGAAATGTAACTACTAGATTTCGGAACTCACCCGTGTATATGACGAATGCCTGTATAACTAAACGAGACAGGAACCAACCAAATAATGGATATCATTGGCAACTTAACACGCTGTAGGGATACGGTTAAGTGGACCAGCTCATCCTGTCTCCTCTACTGCAAAACAGGCACTGGGAACAGAGCTTACTCTTCAGCAACTCTCCACCTCTGGAACAATCTTCCCCTATCTCTCAGATCACCAATGTCAACAACAAACTTCAAATCAGCTCTAAAGACACATCTCTTTCTTGAAGCTTTACCAAAACTGACTTTCTACTTGAGATTTAGAAGTTGATGAATATATAAGACGAGTATATGGATGACAACTTCTTCTTTATTGTATAACACGACGCTTCTGGGCTACTTCTTGCCCCTTCTTCAGGTGATATGAAGAAGCGTGGTGTTATACAATAAAGGAGAAGTTGTCATCCATATACTCGTCTTATATGACTATCTACTTGTGTATTATCTTTCTAACATGTTTATAGCTTTGTACAGCTCCACTGAGTATCTGACACGTGGGTTTTAGGCGCTATAGAAACTACAGAAATGCATTAGTATTATTTTCATCATTATATTGTTCACAGCGGCGAGAATTACCGAGACCGAAACTCGCAAATGTTACATGTCGGTGGGCATAGGTTCGGGACCTTGACTATCGATAATTTTGCGGAAATATAAAACTAAGAGAGAAACAAAGAGCCCCATTTAAAGTGGAAAGGGGCGAGATTCAGAACATGAACCTGGGGAAATGTAGGCTTGCTCCATTTAGAGCGTTGGCAATGCAGGTAGTGCTGGGTTGAAGAGAAAATGGTATGGATTGGTCCCGTTAGTGTGAGTGAGTGAGTGAGTTTAGTTTTACGCCGCACTCAGCAATATTCCAGCTATATGGCGGCGGTCTGTAAATAATCGAGTCTGGACCAGACAATCCAGTGATCAACAGCATGAGCATAGATCTGCGCAATTGGGAACCGATGACATGTGTCAACCAAGTCAGCGAAACTGACCACCCGATCCCGTTAGTCGCCTCTTACGACAAGATAGTCGCCTTTTTTATGGCAAGCACATGGGTTGCTGAAGACCTATTCTACCCCGGATCTTCACGGGTCCGTTAGTGTGAGACACATTATGCGGGACCTATGTCGGCCTGAATGTACTGCATGCATTCAAATCATGCACTCATGTATTCCCTTGTATCCTTCTACATTTGTATTCGGCGTCGTGAGAACAGACCCGTGAAGGTCCGTGTTAGAAGTGGCCTTCAGCAACCCATGCTTGTCATAAGAGGCGACTAACGGGATCGGGTGGTCAGGCTCGCTGACTCGGTTGACACATGTCATCGTATCCCAAATGCGTAGATCGATGCTCATGCTGTTGATCACTGGATTGGCTGGTCCAGACTGGATTATTTACAGACTGCCGCTATATAGCTGGAATATTGCTGAGTGTGGCGTTAAATAACAAACAAACCAGCATGAGAACAGACGCACAAATGTGTTGTTTTAAACAATACAACGCTGGTGGAGATATTTCCTTCTTCCGAACTATTGAGCATGTTTTGTACCATTCACCAGCTGTCATGATAACGAATGAATATACGACTACGGAAACGAATGAAAACGAAAACGGAACTAACAGAATATGATTATAACTATAATACTATCAATGTTAAACTAAATCTTAGTATGTACATGGAGATGAACCGATCGATGAGGTATGGTTGTGTTCGATGGGATTTACTTTGATTACGCTGTCTGACAGTTTCAAATATAAAAAACCCAGGCAGATGTAAAAACCCAGGCAAGGAGTGAGTTTTCCCGAGGAATCGAAAGCGGGCGATACAACCGCCAGCCGCATTGTTATGACATAGTATTGGGTTCATCACTGACAGTACAATGTTGTATTTGTTTGTTGTTTAATGCTGAACAGCGAGCTATGAAAATAATCGAGTCGTGGACCATACAGTTCAGTGATCAACAACATGAGCATCGATCTACGCATTGGGCTATGATGACATGCATGACCCAAACCACCGGAGTCCGTTAGTTATCATGTTGTCCGATCCAGACTCGATTACATCAGACCGCCGCCACATAGCTGGAACAGCGTTAAACAAAAATAAAGAAACAAACAAAATATCAGGCGCTGTCGATGCTCGTGATGTCAATCACAAGAATGGCCTGCTGCCAATCACCAGCCTTGATTATTTAGACCGCTGCTATATGATATCGCCAGAACATTGCAATGTGAGTCGTTTAAAGCAAACGATGGTGAAATGATAGGGCACGGGCATAGTGAACAAACATCCATGGAATGAATCGACTTTCTCATATACAGGACGCAATCACGCCTTTGAAATAAACATCTTTTGGATATTCCTTTCCGCAGAACTGACTGACTGAGTTTGGTTTTACTCCGCTTTTAGCAATATTCCAGCAACATCACGGCGGGGACACCAGACATGGGCTTCACACATTGTACCCATGTGGGGATTCGAACCCGGGTTTTCGGCGTGACGAGCCAACGCTTTAACCACTAGGCTAACCCCAGAGAATATATTCCGAACGTTTAGATAAACAGCAAATTTGGGTGAGTATTGTTTTCCGCTGCTTTTAGCAATATTCCGGTTATTGTCGTAAGAGTTCTATTATACATGTGTTTCACAGCTCTCACTAGTGACAAAAGCATTACAACAAGTTCGGAGGTGTTTTTATTCCATGAAGGTCTGTTATCTTATAAATTATAATGTTTATAATCTTCTGTCATTATTCAGATCTATGGTAGGAGGTAAAGAGTTAACTTTATGAAACGTGCTGATTCACGGTGTTTGGAATGTGTATTCAAATAAATGAATGAGGCACTGCTTTGAAAACTTGAAATGCTCGCTACAGCCTATACATAGGGAATCAATGATGTTCCCGTACGCTCCCGAAATTGAACGCCAAAACGCAGAAAGAGGAGAGGTAACAAAATCAGGTTTTGCTTGACAATTCCTTAGCAGTTGCGTTCGAGCGAATGTTTCCGGTTCATTCTCGATGCAATCGAAGTGTAAAAGTTAATGCATGAATAACATCGAATGTTAGCAAAGTTCATCACCTTTAAGTGTGATGACAAACTCTGTCCTCACATGTAAGACATATTTTATATATTTTATAATATTACTCAAATATAATTTAAGACTTACCTAAATTAGAACAAAACAGAGTTTGCATACAGACTCCGCTGTTGTCATCACATCATGCTTTCTCATTTTAATAATTCCAGTGTTAGTCTTTTCAGTTTCACTGAACATTTGGTCTTTAAACACAATGTTTTCAGTCCTTCACGTTCGCTTTCTTCGCCTTCTCTTCCTTTCTCGCAAGCAGAGATGTCTTTCTGAAACTCTTTTGGTCTATGATGGCAATGAAACTGATTTGAAATGACTTATACTAGAAGGTGCATGATGGGATTGTGTAGAGCATGAGCGCACTGATTGGAAATAGAGTGGTACACATACAGTTTGGTTGGTTAACAATCTACATGGGTGGAATGCTTTTATTCTAACTGTGGAATGATTGTTCACCTGGACTAGATTGAATAGTTTGGTGCTTTTCAGGAGCTTTAAGGAGCACTCCCGTGGAATGTTTATTGTTTTCCTCAGGAATTTTATTGTATTCTATTGAATGCTTTTATTCTACCTGTGGAATGTTTGTTCACCGCGACTTAAATAGTTTGAATAGTTTGAGGAGCTTTAAGGAGCGCTCCTGTGAAATGCTATTGCATGACTTAAATAGTTTGAATAGTTTCAGGAGCTTTAAGGAGCGCTCCTGTGGAATGTCTGTTGTTGTGCTTAGGAATGCTATTGTTGTCCTCTGGAATGCTATTGTTCTCTTAGGAATGCATTTGTCTGGCCTATCTGGATTACTTTCTCCCTACTTACATGTACTATGTTTATGGACCAACAACACGATGTCACACTCTGATATTTGAAATAAAAGACATTTAACAAAAACAGTAGTGGAAATATATTGTTTATTAAAGATTAATACATAGTTAAGAAATCCTTTGTGGACATTATATTTCAAAGGTATTCAATGATCGTATTAGTATTTCAAGGGTCATATTTTAACCAGCTCTATTACGTGAACCTCTGGAGCATATACAAGAAATGAGTTTAGGAAACTATAGCTTTACGTCTCACGTACATGCGACATTAGGTAACGGTAAAGAGGTTAGGACACATTTCACAATATCTTGTATATCATGCGTTACACAATGCGTATACGCTCGTAAAAATAGGAGTAAAATCTTGCGTAGTTTGAAGTAAGTCGTTTCTACAGTGTACATTTGTGATGTAGTGACAGCTGAGGTAGGAAATGACGGACACATTCTCTCAAACATCTCCATGCGTCTGTGTTCAGATAATTTAAAATTCAAGCCTGTTTCATTGTCATATCGAACAGTTACAAAGCTTTAAACAATGCACAAACATGCCATGTGAAATGACTGTGAAATTGAAAATAATAATAAGAAGAACTTGCTGTGTTGACCGGATACGTTCTTTTAAATGGCAATTTAACAAGATAAGTCCCTCAGAAGGATGACCTAGTTATAATTTCAGTGTATATTAAATACAACATTGGTCCTTTCTAATATCAGACTCCCTGATATAATTTGAGCGTACTCTGCCTTCGATTGCAGAACCTGTCAGTAAATAGCCTTATCTTTACTTCGACCAAGGACATTACTTGGACTTTCTTGTTTTATGTTACCGTAATAACAATGACTACACCTTCAGTCTGTACAACGATAGTTGTATTCATTGTTCTGCCTTGGTCAGTTAGATGCAGGTTATCGGCAGAATGTGATGGTCGTGTAGTGAGCGAGTCTGTTTAACGCCTTTTAAACACTAAACGCAGCGTTCTAGTTATATCAAGGCGTGGCAACTCAATGTGGAGGGGTAATCCCAAAGTGATGCAGGTGTCTGAGGTTACCACTTTGGTAAAACCCACAAACACGGCCATAGCGTTGAAAAAAACAAAAACAAGGGTAAACCTGGATTCGAATAACAAAAACAAGGGTAAACCTGGATTCGAACCAGGTAAGAATTGATTCAAGATTAATGGCTTCACCAAGGTCGGGACATTTCACGTTGAATTTTTGCAACCTGGCCACCCGTTCACCAGCCATGGTTTTGCAGATGAAAGGAATACCCCGAGACACGGACTTCAATATGCATGTACACATTGCAACGGGTATATTGTATCAATATTTGTATTAAACGATGCAATACGACCTCGTCAAAATGCATATTGAGAAGGGTGGGGAAGTAGAAAAGCCTTATGTTTCAAGGATTGTCAACTCACTTCTAATGTCGTCTCAGTAGTAGGGTCATGTTTTACTGATACTGAGTTCAAAAGTGAAACTGGTACAGGGCGTAGAGCACGCTCCCTTTGCAGCTGGCCAGACTGTACAATGTTGACGCTGAAGTATACCACGAACAGCCCTGTGAGGTGTACAGAATTGTACACATGCATACTAAAACTGATTTCTGGAGAGGGCATATTTTTTCTGAAAAAAAGCATAAACTATATCTGCATGAAACCCACCCATACGTCTTCATAGGGAACTTGGTTATTTCTGTTCAGTTTCAGTATCGGTACAGCCAAAGGACATTGGGTGGGTTTGGCAGGATTCGAGTTTTCTTTAAACAACTTTCATTCATAAAATACAGAAACACATGGACGCTCCACAACACATATTCAAATTTGCTAAGCTCTAAATGCCCATGGTCAAACATATAGATTGATAAAAACATTAAAAGCACATACTCTTATGCCGAATATATATGACTAAAACATGACGTAAAACGATATATTAACAACAGTAATATGCAGAGATCGGGTCTCTTTAGCGTCTATAGCATGGTATTAGTAGTATACAGTGTCGCGGAACCAGGAATCACTCCAGATGGACACTGCCTGGTCCAAGTAATGGGATGTGAGGAAAACCATTGCTGTTGACGATGTCCGGGTCCTCCAGCTGAAGATCATGCAGGTCAAGGTCAAGGCTCTGAAATAAGAATATACTGCTTGTAGTAATTTTGAAACAAAATACATATTTATTGGTGAATTAGCTCAATCTATATCGAACACATGTAAAGACTGGTATAAGGAAGCGACTGACAAAACTTCCCGATTTACTCCACTTGTGGGGCGAAACCCTAGTTTCCACTTGACTGGTACAACGCACAGGGAAATCATTGGTTGCTGTTGTGACCAAAACCTCACAGGGAGTATGATGGCGACGCTGTGTCACTGTTATACCCATTGGAACATAAAACACAGTAATTAAATTCTAATGTCGTAAGGTGCGACTAACGGGATCGGGTGGCCAGACTCGCTGACTTGGTTGATGCATGTCATCGTATCCAAAGTATTAAAGTTGAAATCCATGTTCACTAGATTGTCAGGTCCAGACCCGATTACTTGCATACCGCTGTCAAATAGCTGAAAAAATTGGGCGTTATACAACACACAAAAGACAATGCGTTCTGTGAAAGAGGAATATTTCAAAATCTCGCACCATAACTAATGACATCAACTTACAACATCCCCCTTATCCGACCGAACTAATAGAATTCATGCCTGTCTCATTAAATCCAGATGTGATTGTCATGCGACTGAATCAATGCTAAAATATTTATCCTCTTTTATGCAATGAAATGATCTTTTTCTCCGTAACCAACTTTATACGTCAGCTCAAACCCCTTAAAGTGTGATCCAAGACTAGAACAAATAAAACATTTCGTCATTTGTAGCAATTGTACAAAAGACGGCCATGGCAACAGGTTCCATTTATTTTGTCTCCCTGATCTCCTACGGAGGTTTGTATATCATGTTACGGTCGTAGCTAAAACAATGGCAAACCCTCCTATTCAAAAGCATCGAGCATATTTTGTGACAAGACGAGAGAGCAGAATGAACAGAGATGTATATTGAGTGTCAACAATATCCTTACCCTGTCACGTCTATAAACAGTGTTAACCAAGACTCGTCTAAATATTGTGAAGACAGTAGGGGTTTGGTTTATTCAAATCTTAATTCCTCATCTTATGACAAATCGTAATAAATGAGCTTTTGTGAACGTGTACATGTAATTGAATAAGGTGACTTCAAACAGTTTATAGTGGTGTTTTAGCTTATGAGAGAAAATCCCCAAGTGATTCCGGTTGTACATATTCATAATAAACCAGTCCCGCGATCATTTCAGGACGTATCTCCAGGAACCTAGGCTGGTCGTATAGGCTGACCGGCGGTCAGGTTCAGTGAATTCGTTGGTCGCGAGGTTTCAGGGAACACCGATCCTGAATCGTGGACCATCATATCATTTGTTAGTTTGTCAAGTCCAGACTCGATTATTTACATACCTTCGTCATAATATAGCTCAAATATTGTTGAGTGCGGCGTTTAAAAGACAAACAAACAAACTAGTCGATCACTAACTAATTGGTATGGGACCTGCTTATTGTGGCCAGTGGCGGGGTCATTGTTGATTATCATACACTTTGGTGACACTCACTCACACCAGCAAGACTCAGGTTGTAATGCTGAAGGCAGAATTGTGATTTGTGAAATAAGATTTCTCATGGATTGAGTTGCGTTCTGTCACACATTAAATGGAGTTGTTTTCTTGTTATGACTGATGATGTACCACATCTATCCTGACCAATAGAGTTCCCGTGTCTTCAGAGTCCTCACTGTTTTCATCATGTGCTTCCCTCTAATTCTTGTTTCTAACTAAATTCTTATTGTTGCCAGATTAAATACATAGTGCTTTGATACTGGGTCTGTAATACACAAGGCACGGTTTCCCTGTCTGCAGATATCTGACCATCAATAAAAGCAACACAGCTACATAGAGAGTCTGTTAGTAGATGTATTTGCTATTATCTATACAGGGATTAGACAGTTAAAGGAACCAATGATCAAATACTGTGGGTGTAAGAAGGGTTCTGTTCAACATTCATGTCCTCAAGATGGTGAGGTGAAATGTGGATGCTATCATGTTGAAATTCGCTTTCCTGTCATTGTAGAGAAATCACTACAGAAAATAGGACCAGATTTGAATCTGTTGCATAGTGCAGTTAATGTAATGAAACGACTGAGTCACTGAGTAACTGTTTTACCCTGCATTTGGCAATATCCCAGCCATATCACAGCAGAGGACACCAGAAATTGGCTTCACACATTGTACCAATGTGGGAATCGAACCCTGATCCCCAGCATGAAGAGCAAACGCTTTACCCTCTAGGCTACCCCACTACCTTGAAATGGTTGTTATGGGGCGGTGGGGTAGCCTAATGGTTAAAGCGTTGGCTCGTCACGCCGAAGACCCGGGTTCGATCCCCACATGGGCACAATGTGTGAAGCCCATTTCTGGTGTCCCCTGCCGTGATGTTGCTGGAATATTGCTAAAAGCGGCCTAAAACCAAACTCAGTCAGGCAGTCAGTGAAATGGTTGTTCGTACTATTTCATACTTATTCCAGTCTTCAGGCAGTATCCAAACAGACAATGCCTTAGCTAAACATGGATAACCGACCGTACACGCCAGGCTGACCAGTCCTAGTTCTATCCTCGTAATGCTGAGCTCCAGGTTGGGTAATATCAAGTACCATCTCTGAATGTCTATTGGTTTGAAGAGGTTGGGGATTGAACCAGCAACCTTCCACTCTCTGGGCAGCAACACAACACTTTCAGTAAGAGATAATTTTATTCATTATATACGAATTACACTGTGAGTGTCTCACAAGCACAGCACAGCTTTCAATCACACAACCACCTCTGCACTGACAGTGCAGGAAGTACATTTTGAGTAGCATTGTTTTTGTGCAAGATCACTTTTGAATATGAAGACATTCTAACCATCAACAAAGATGTAGATATTTCTACAGCATACATGTCAGCTTATGACATTTGGATTATTATAACAGCAACATATCCTCAAACATAACTCTTGTCCAAACTATTAACCTAGGTACTCTTTTGAATCTATGAGTAGTAACAACATTCTTTCTGGTGAATTTTACCGACAACAGTCATTCCCTAACCAGTAAAAGTATACCAAAAAGATGCACGGAGGATTTGGCTGGTGCAGTTACCAGCGTTTTGCAGAAACTGAACTCCAATTAATGGAGAAATGTGAAAATCACAGAAAACCTTACTTCCATGCATCCGAAACATAAGGCCGAAACTGACTAGTACAAACCTCTTACTGGCATGTATTAGCCAAAACAATTGGACAATGGTCAGTTGTGAATTTATAATGATTCATTTGCTATGAAAAAGTGAGTAATACCTACAAGCTTAAAAAATAACGATAAAATTGTCTAAATGTACATGAAGTAAAGTCTGTAAATGCATCCTTGTCAAGAAGTACCTGTGTAAATTTCACATCGATTACAGACCATGATTAAAAAGTAGAAAAATGTCATCAAATGATCTTTCTCTATGTACATATCCATGGATGAAATGACGACATCATCTACACAGTGTAAGTGCTGTTTGTGTTGGATTACAACCAATTACACTCCATTCTGACAGTGTTAAACAAGGCAAACAGTTTGACAAAACATGTTTGTTTCAGACTTGATATCATACAAAACATGTTTGTTTCAGACTTGATATCATACACTAATTTTTCCTGGCGGACTTAAAAACATACCTTATACATTATATTGTACATGGTACATATTTTTCAAATATCAGGAACGTCCTTGAAAAAAGAGACTTTGAAAATTGCATTTAACCCTTGATGAATGTTGAGTCTTCTTGGTATTGTTCAGAAATTACCAATAGTTGTACACCCTGTCTATAAACAGCTACAGGAGACATTTATAAACAGTCACCATGACAACAACTGACAAATACTTTTGATCTTAATCCTTAAACCCTTATTTTAACTGTAAGCTGTGATAACAGATGTTTTCGCGACTTAAGTGCTTTTTGATTACTTGATGACTATAACAACATGGAAACCTGACTAAAGTCTAGGACAGTATGTTGCTTCGGAGGTCATAGGACACTACAATGCTTCGGAATTCATAGGACACTACGATGCTTCCAAGGCCAAGATGATGGAACTATTCTCTCCGATTACTGTCTGTATTCAAGTCATTCATTTCCATCTCTTCTGTAACTGCAGCCTTGGGACGAGCCACCTGTCGAGAAAAAACACATGCCATACTAGGTCCTCTAAACTCAGGACACGAAGCACCCACACAGAGTCCTTATCCTGGACAAACATGGAGACTGCAAAATGTCAGGAGCTGGAAACTAGACCTATACCAGTAACCTGGGATCACTCTTAGATAGGAATGTGTCCCCTACAGCTGATTAGGACTTATAAAAGGATAACAATATATAGATGAAACAACTTCTTTTTCTACAGTGGGAGCCATGTTTCAGTGTAGGTTCTAACATCACTATCACGCAACATCTAAAAGTCTTTCAAAGTAGAGATATGGACTTGCCAGATAACTGTGAACAAACAGTGGAGAGAGATATTGTTTCAGCTTTATAACTGTAAACTATGCCTGAAATACACACACACCTCTATACATAACTATGTATCTGCACTTTAAACTTACAACCATGCAGTGAGGAAAGGACAATCATCATCAGAAGCTTTCATCAAATGATCACGTTAAGTCAAGTCCATGTTAAACTTTAGGATGACATTCACCATGTACATGGATATATTGAAGGATGACATTCACCATGTACATGGATATATTGAAGGATGACATTCACCATGTACATGGATATATTGAAGGATGACATTCACCATGTAAGTGGATATATTGAAGGCATGTGGAAATAGATAACATTTAGCCCACACCTCGTCTTGGGAGAGACACATCCACTACTCTTCTAGTCCACGGCCAGTACCAGCTATATCAATAAGTTTTATTACCAAACTAGTTATTTTACATTAATTACCACTAGTATAAAATGTGCTCCAGATATGGTATCCATGTAGTCTCTCAACAAAATAAATGACACAATAGACATTGTGAGGATATTCCACACAGCAGCACTACAAACCATCAACATTTACTGGTCACACATCAACCACTGTAAAGGCACCACCACTACTAAGCAATTCAAACAATTAATCTCAACTCTGATGACCGGGCCTATTTTACCATCATGTCTGTGTGTTTGAAGTTTAATGCTGACACAGCAATATTCCAGCTGCATGACAGCAGTCTGAATAATTGATCCAGACAATGCAGTGATTGACAACATGAGCACATTACACACATGACATCATTAAACCAAGTCAGTGCACCTGACCACCCAATCCCGTAAGTCACCTCCTACAACGCATTGCTAAAGAGCAACTCTATCCTGGATGTTCAAGGGTTGGCCAGCATCATGCAATAACCCAGAAGACAGGAACACCTTGCATGATCTCTCACTCAGGACATTCCTCAATACAAGCAGTGACATACATCACATAATCTGAATCTAGATGCTGATTCATCTTTCTGCTTGTTAGGCAGTGCATGCATTCAGTGTCTTACTGGTTGAAACATAAACAATTTGTTGTATCAGCTAATAAAGGAAAGTCTGCAGCAAAGCAGAGGATATATTGATCATGTTTGCGAAACCCACAAACATGGCATGGAGCTGGCATAACAAAGTCCAACAAACATGGTATGGAGCTGACAATGCCTTGGACATTAATAAAGCTTTCAGTGGGACTGAAACCAGTGATTTGGAACACCTAGTAACTAAGCTGATAAGTTTGTATACTGTACACATATAAGGAGTATAAACAATGGGGCATATATGTACTTTGTCCCTGCAAGATATTTTCAACACCCCCAGCTTCAGTCCATTTACACTGCAGTGAAATTGGACAGATAATCAGAGCTTAGTTGTCAGAGTTATTCATTGTGCATTTGCATTGATTATCACAACAATGTCCTTTGATGTATTAGAGTTCAACCCTGAATCATGTATATATCCATGCAGCAGAAAATGTGTCCAACCTCACTGATGCATGACCAAATCTGTCCAACTTAGCTAAAAGACATCCAATGATGTACACTTATTGGAACCAAAAAGGTTCAAAAGTAAATCTGTTTTTCGCTCTACGATTCCAGTGTAATTAACGGTGGATAGATAGATTTATATATATGTGCACTGACATAATCAATGCAACTGCCCTTGTTACTAACTCAGTTCTGCTTTTAACATTCAGTTGAGCATGATCCTATAAAAGCTTGTAATACCTTAGTTAGTTAGTTTAATTGTTTACATTGGATCCAAATTTTGCATATAAAATCATTGGTTCGATTCGTAGATGCATCCAGTTTATAGTGGAGATGTATCGAACAAATACCCTGGAGATTATCGAGGATCGGCTAAATCTATCTTAATAGCTAATCATTGTATATCTAGCCAAATAGTAAATAATTGTTCCATCATATCAGCTTCAGTCTAGAGAGTGCAAAGTCAATGTTTCTATCTCAGGGCTCCAGATAATTTTTCATGATCAGGAGTACATACTCCTTATTGTTTCAATACAGGAGTACTGGAAAAACTAAGAGTACATTAAGAGTACTGAATGGAATTTAATGGTGTATCAGTAATCTTGTGTTTCGTTTCACATATGCACCACAACATTGCTACTCTTGTGTAAACAGGTCAGTAAACAATAAAACGATACGTTTTCAGATAAATACGTCTGTAACTGATTCTAAGACCGTACACCATTGCTGTGGTGCGTATCTGCTATGTTTTCTAAATGATTTCCTACTGTATCGTGCATATTTTTTATCCGTACATACGCCGATACAGCCCTTATCTGGTGCCCTGTACCTTAAGTGTCATCATACCAAAACATGTTATATGATGGTACTTCTTGTTACCCTGCCTGATAGGGATAAAATGAGCTGGTCAGCTGGGAGTACCGGTCAGTATGCTGTATGCGAGTGGGAATCCATGTTGAACTATTGCATTATTCAGACTAGTACACAATGTACAAGCAGTCACAAACAGATAGGTACATGCATGTATGTTTATGAGCAATGCGTATGCATTTATTCATGTATGAAAAATGCATGAGCAGAGGCTGGTACAGATGCAAAGAGGCCAATACAGATGAACAGAGGCCAGTACAGATGAACAGAGGCCAATACAGATGAACAGAGGCCAGTACAGATGAACAGAGGCCAGTACAGATGCAAAGAGGCCAGTACAAATGCAGAGGGGCCAGTACAGATGCAGAGAGGCACAGAGGTAGGTACAGATACCAGCAGATTCAGGTACTTACCAGCCAGTTGAGAGGGGTTGAGATGAGGAGGTCGGTGGCAAAGCCTAGTGTTTCCTGTACATAGCTCAATCTGTCCTTGGCCTGACTCAGGAACCAAAATGGGAGGTCTTCATATGATTTAGCCTGGAACAAACATGAGAAGTTCAATACACACCCAGAATATGTCATATAGGTAAACACCCTGCATGTGCTATATTGATAAACATGCAGCATATGTCACATCAATAAACATCCAGATCATATTGATAATGCCAAGGGTTAGTTAGTCATCATATCATTTGCACAAAGAACTTGCAATATTTAAAGTACATCTTAATCTAAAGAAAAGGTGATCAAACCAAACCATGAATGTGGACTGATTCACAGCTCTTTCTTGGGAGAAAATGGAAAAGTAACAATTATGAAAGACGAAAAACAAACCTTGGAGAAAGTTGAGTAGAGTTCTTCAATATATTTTGTAGCCTGAGCAATAGTTTCCCGAAGATGCTGAGGTTGAGAGGTGATGTACTGGGACACTGTGGCGGTGCTGTGACGTATCTGGCGGGTAAGGCGACGGGCAAGAAGAATGGTTCTCTCCTCCATGTTCTGGGGGTAAGTGTGCTTTATTATCATGATATTACTTAAAACTCAAACAAATCGCTTGCTTTTCATTCTCCCTAACAGTAATGGAACTTCCTCTGCTGTGTTCATTGAGGACACACAGACATCTCACACGCACATACCCCAGCCCTGTGCAGGCACATTGGAACCATTGTCTCTCTCCATTTTCGCCCAACGCAGAATAAGAGATAAGCAATTTAGTATGAGTCACGAAGAGGAGAAATAATGGACATTTGAATGAATCTCATCACATCAGATGCAAATCTGGTACTTTTATGTGTGAAGCTGCTGTTTCTAATTATCAACAAGGTAAAAGAGCATGAAAGAACTGTGCTGGAATATACCGGTATGGAACACAAATTAGAAGTCAAATTTTCATACAGTGTCAAAGAAGTTCATTATTGCCTCAGTATCAGGAAAGAAAAATCTGTGACATTTCCATCATTGGTAAAAAAATTCTGATGAGAAACTGTTCTTTTTTGTCCAAATTGCAAACGAGTCAGCCCCCAAGGTGCCTCCAGTCATGGAGATGTTTCCTCACCTGAGGGTTCTTCTCTTCCCCCTCCTCATCCTCGGTGGTGATGCGGCTCCAGGTGTTGGTGACCTTGTCATGCACAGCGGTCACACTATCGCCTACAATGGTGCGGGCCTGGTCCATATTGTTCTTGGCATAGTCGATCTGGGGGACACAATATTAAAATAGTCAGTACAGGATACGGAAAAGATACAGTGATTGTAACGGGATGGTGGGCAATTGTTCTGAGTGTGTTGTAGCACTCAGTAATAATCCAGTTCAATGATGGCGTTTGTTTATAATTGTGTTTGGACCAGACAAACCAGCAACCATCCTTGGGTTTGGGTAACAATCACATGTAAGTCACTGAGTCTCACCACAAAATTCAGTCAGTCACCAAGTACAAGTATAAGCTTGGACAGATATTCTCGCCTAGAATCTCTACAGGAACAGACCAGGATGAAAATGGCGTGCTGTAATTTCAGAAACATCACAATATCTTTTTCAATAATTGAAAGTTGTTTTATGCCATCTTTCGAATAGTTTTTCAAAGAAATCATGTGGTAAACATGTGGATGATCTATAATCCAATTGTGCTGTTTTCTCGCATGGATAAATAAAGTAGTATACCTCTTTAAAACCAAGGGAAAGTTACAACCATCTTTACATGCAACAAGCATAGAAGTAAGGTGACAATATTATTTCCGTTCCACTCGGCAGAAATGATGATGTATACTCAGCAAAGTCAGCCAGGTGTGTCAGTAAGGTACACAATAGGTCACTGAAAGTGGGAGGCACCAATGGTCAGTCAGGAAAGGTACCTACCAGGTTGACGGTAAAGTTGAGTTTGGACAGGGCATCCTGACCCTTCACCTGGACGCCACGCAGGTCTCGCATGGCCCTCTTGTACATGCGGCGTCGCACCTTGGACGTGAGTGACGTGGCACGGTACAGAGGATTCTTCTCTGGCTTGTCAACCTCACCTGATCGATGATTCACAGAAGTGAAATATGTCACATCTTGGGCTATCATAATAAACTGCAGATCCAGTACAGAGTGATAAATTGTGCTGTCATGGGAACATGTACTTTTAAGGAGTAAATATTTTGTCTGGAAATTCATTGCATCTGAAGTAAGATGACAAGTGTGATGTTTTCAGGCATCTTAATGTATAATCAATTTGTCAAAGTTTATTTAACATCATGAGAAATGTATTGCTTATGGCCGACGGTACCGTTCTGAAACACTATGAAAGTCAATGTTGGAACTATGGAACTTGATAAAAATAATAGTGACAGAATGCCTTGCAGAGCAAAATAACATGCTCAGTGTATATAACTTTCACTTTATCCTGGAACTATGAAACTCTCAACTATGTGACAGTAAGGTTCATGACAAAGGTCAAAGCTTCCACTCACCATCCTCGGGAGGCAGATATCTGTCCACCAAATGTTCGGACGTAGACAGCACACCGTCCAGTCCAGACACAGCCAGCTGGCCATACTTGGTACCGAGGGAGGCATCCAGCACACCTTGACCAAGACTTTGGACACGTGCAATCTGACTGGTGCTGTAGTTCTTCACACCATTGACCGTTGCAGTACCAAACTGACCCACACGAGTCACCTGCAAGTCAGTATTTGAAAGTAACATATGTCCACTAGTCTGATAAAATACACTTCAAGAAGGGCTTGTGATATTTCACTGTACCTTACCATGTTTGGACAATAGGTAGATCGCAACTCTGAATAATGTATTTTGGAAAAGTGAAAAAATAGTCATGTCTAAACCTGATAAGAAGGTTATTGTATATCACATACATAACAATATTTCCCTCTTATGATTATATACAGAGAGTATTCACTTCTGAATTGTGCAAGAATGTCCTCATCTAATATTAAATGCATCACAATTTCACAAATTTCAAACATAATTCAATCAACAACTGAAAATTCCAATTCTTGCTTTCAGCAGGTTAATAACTAACCCATTGCTATAGCATAAAACCAGCACGGGATTTGCATAAACAGAGTTCAATGTATTAACATTGCAGTTTTTCTAGTTGTCTGATCACAGAAATGACAAATGCTGTATTGCTGGGACTGACCTGCTGCTTGCCGACGTTGTAGACGCCACTGACGGTGCTGGTGACAGGTTTAAGGTATTCCTCACAGGCTTTCTTGCTGTTGGCATACACCTGTAATTAAACAACATGCGGTCAGGTCCATTCAAGAATTCACTTTAACACATTTCATGTCTAATGCCTGTCCTATCTATTATCTGCCTATCATTAAAGTCCTGAAGTGGATATGGCCTAATTGGACTTTGGTTTATGGTATCATAGTTGCAAAAAGAAAGGCTTGGTTAGCCAATCAAATGACGCAGATTCACTTTCAACTTAATCATATCTTGTTGGCATACCCAAGTTTTACATATGCACATTAATGTGTGCATTTTCTACGAGCAACAGCAATACTTATCCATTGAGTGTAATTATGTATGTTGAGTAGGGCGAGTGATTGTGTTCAGTTTTATGCCACACTCAGCAATATTCCAGCTATATGGGGGCGGTATGTAAAGTCTGGACCAGACAATCCAGTGACCAACAGCATGAGCATCGATCTACGCAGTTGGGATACGATAACATGTGTCAACAAACAAACCATCTCTCTTACATGTCCTAGCAATAATTACACAACGAGCTTGAGCAACACACACCTCATCAGCAGGCTGGGTGATGACTGGGTACTTGGTCTCCAGGGTGTTCAGCTTCTCACAGGCATAATGATTCACCACAGCAACTGGAAACAAAAAATTGTAACCTACATGAAAAATCTACACATTTGACAATCCCTTCCTTAATAATATTTACACTGTCACTAGTCATAATTGATTCAGCACATCCAAACGGAAAAGCAGAATCACAGACATTTTTCAAGCAAGCATATATGCAGCTGTGTTATTCTGAGGACAAGTGAAATGAGACTTACATATTCCTCTGCATTTGTCTGTAAGAATATCTCCAGAATTTGAAAGACTGCCTTAATCAAAGCTGCAGGGGTGGAAATAACCTATTGCCCGACGCCCGAGCCCAGCGTTTTATTCTGTCGGGCAAGCAAATTTGTATATCACACTGTACCGGTGTCCAGTTGACTTTCCAATATTAATTATGTTGTTAATTTAAAGAATCAACAAGAAAAAATCCGGTACCGGTATAGTGGAAAAATCATCAGGGTGATTTTACATGTGTCACTGTACCGGAGTACACTAGCAATTTTAAAGGTATTTCCACCCCTGAGCTGGTATTTAAGATAGATACCACAGTAATCCCATACCATTAACAGTAAAATCTGTTTGGAAGTGTCAGGTTTTCTCACTTGGTGCTGTCCCTTCACTACTTGGAAAAAGAATATACTTACTCTGAGGCTGGACTTTGTCCACAAGTGGCTTAGCAGTTTGAGCCACTGTGGTGACACTGCTCTCGGCCAAGTTGAGGGCTGTCCTCAACAGGGCATGCCTTTCTTTTGTCTTCTCATAGGCACTGAAGGCAGTGGTCCATGCCAGGTTCACCATCGGTAGGTTCCCCAGCTTATTTATGAACTGTTCCTCTTCCATTCTTGCTTGTTGTGCCTGCAGACTTTGTCGTACATATAATTACTGCTGTAAGGAAAAAGAACTCAAAATAATACTTGATGATGAGTCATCAGGACGACAATGAGTTCATAACTTTGCACCTCCTGGTTAGATACAAACACGGAATAGTTTTAAATAAAGATAAGCGTAATCCTGACATGGGAAGGGGAAATGTCATAACGTGATAGATGTGAGTAATATGGGAGTGGGGGACTGCAACATGATGATGATATAGGGTAAGGAATGCAAACATTACACAATGCATACAATCACAAGTCAGCAGTTGATGGTATAATCATCCTCCTAATATTATGGGTTTTCGGACCCTTAAAGACATCCATTGTTGTCTTGATCATCACACAAACAAATGAAAAACATCTTGTTTTCATCAATAACTCCCAAATTCACAATAATTCCCCAAAACACTCATTTTTAAAAAAAGATTCATGAAATTTGATTCTAGTGATTGTCAAATTGTGTGTATGTTTTGGAGGAAGGAGGGGGAGTGGTGTACCTGCTTTTTGTGTCTATGTTGGACATAAACTCCTGAAGGGTAAATGAAGGGCAGGGACGACCACTGTGATTCTAGATCTAGCTACAGTGATAGTTTAGTGTCTGCTATCTTTTAAGTTTAGGACTTTGTCATAAAACTCCAAACCTCTGCACATGACAAAATAATAACATTTCACGAAAAAAGCCCCATTGGCATTGTAGCATTCTCTAAAGTTATCACTGTACAAAGGCAGTATGCTGTGACTACTCAAAGCGAGAGGTTGGCCACCCACCCCAGGGATTCCACTGGTCAGTCTGCTCCCCTGCCAGTTCATGGATAATGTGTAGCTACCATGTACACAACAAAGGGCCAGTCGGGGACCACCATGTGGACATACTGGCAGTTGGATAACCAAACTGACCCACCTAACCATGGTGACTGGACCAGGAACAAATCCATCGATCATCCATTAATCATCCATTAAACCATTAAACCAAAATGATTTTTCTCAGAACAAATCAAAGTAGACATTGTTGCTGTTAACATTTATAAAACAGTGTGAATAACCTCCAAATAGATCACACACATGTAGCCGTACATATACATTTTCATAGTTGTCTAGGAACCACTGAAGTAATGAACTCTAAAGACAGAAATCGCACATATTTGATTAAATCACTGACATTTCACAAGTTTCAGGCCTTGATTTGATTTCTAAACTTGTACCTCTCCTGAAGTCGACGATCTGCTGATTATAGGTAAACGTTTTGAATCCAGAAAACTGTACTTACCTCAGTATAATGTGTGAGAGTTCCAGCATTTAGCGAGCTGTGAATGTTCCTCGGTGGTCGAGGTTTTCTTTATATATACCCCAGCCAAATTACATCAACGTACGGTTCAAAGTCCACTTGCTGGTCTGCGCGTGACCCTCCTTGACGTGTTTCCTAAAATAACTCTCGAACATGCAGAGCCGCCTGGCGGTCAAAGATCGTGTACTAGGTCAACGTGACCTAACCTTTACTCTCCCACTTTGCCCCACCGTGGTTTGAATTTTGTCCGAAAACTTTGGCCACATACGTACAGTTGACAAGATATACTTCAAGTTCGGTTGTCATACAGCGTGTTTTATTAATTGAGCAACGTTTCATTATTCTCCACGCAATTATTTTGTAAACGTTATATTCAATTAATACTTCTATAATTCGGTTTATACAATGTCAAAATGTTAATAATGAAATCTATTAACTATTTTAACAGAGTTGGGAACAGTTAGGCAGATCTAAAGACAGGGTTTGTTCAACATATACGTCCGTTGTACCCACCGTCCCAGAATTTAACCTCTTGACAAACCCACGAACAAGGATGTTGAAAGGCCCAAAGTAATAATCTGAATTATTACATACTGCGTTGCACCAGAATCAAATGTGTTGTAGTCACGTGGTCTGTGGTTAATTCAAAGCCTACTCTGGCGGTTACCAATTTGAGCATTTTCGCCGTTCGTTAAATATTACTGTGCTTGGGATGACAATGATAAAAATGTTCAGCACTCACAATGTTCAGAACGTGGGAGGGTCATTTTGTGATATACCTGTTTTAGATACACGTATTATCTTGTGCGATTCTGCATGTGTTTGGACTGTGTTTGACAAGCGTTGTAAGTTTAAAAAATCCATATCATATGCACTGTTTATAACTTCCCCTGGGATTCGAACCACTTGTGTAGTGGGTCCTGACATGGCTAAAGAGTAAATCAGTGTATAGTGTATTGAAACCACTGCTTCTCATGACGCCTCGACACGTTATAAAATCAGTTACATGGTTTGTTTTCACGGCATTAACGATTTACGTCGAAATCATTTCGCGGAAGGGCCTGCTGGAGCCCGTTTCACAAAGCCCTCTTACCGGTACGACCTCGTAAAGCAGGTCGTAGACCACCTCTTATTTTTATACCCCCTTTCACAAAGACCTCTTATATTTACACTGTGCCGTAAACAGCCCAAAATGTTAGGACCCCGATTGACCTGTCGTAAATGCTTTAGGAGGTCGTAAACACTACAAAGATGGCGTCAACGATTATGGCACTGCAAGTGATTAAAACGCGCTAACAAAGAAGACCTGAGAAATTTTGAGACAGGTCGAACGTGCTCGACACTCTGGATGATGTTGACATGATGTCGAGATATAGATTTCCTAGGCATGTTGTTTTCTAACTGTGCAGAAAGTTAGAGCCCCAACTGAACAAACCTACAACAAGGCGTTCACATGCTATTCCGACCTCCCTGCAAGTGTTGTGTACACTGAGGTATTTGGTAAAACGGGCTTTCCTCAATGAAATCGTGGATCTCCCATGGAGTTTCCAGAGCTAGTGTGTCAAGAATACTCCGCGACACCACTAGTGATCTGGCCGAGTCTCTGGACTTGATTAAAAACCCCAGGGTGCCACAGGGACATATACATATGTTTGCATTTAGGAATTAAGATACAGAGTCGTGCAAACGTATTCGGTCACTTGACGTAATTTCCATAGACTTACATGTTAATTTAGTGTAGCATAAATAATTTTCATGAATTTAATTAAGATCCAAGTCAAATTTTGCATACTTGTGAGGAATCATCTTACCTACAATTGCATAATTTCTGTTTAATTTTCCGTTGCTTATTTATCGAATGGCAACAATTTAATCAACATGCGTACAGTGCCGTGAACGCCTTGAACATAGCGGCCTACGGGATTGGGCATTGTGGAACCAGTTGATAAATGTGATGTCATAAGTTAAATAATGGGCGGAAAATAGAACTGAAACTATGTGCGCAGGGCAGAGATGATTTCAAACTTTACAAAGATCTATCTTAAACTCACTTCATGAAAATTATTTATGTTACACTGAAATAACATGTAAGTCTATGGAAATTACGTCATGTGTCCGAATACTTTTTGCGCGGGTCTGTATGTCCTTCCTCTTTAACCCTCACTTTGAAGTCCAATAAAATTCTAAATATATCACGTACACAAATATACTTCACAGTTTTGTATTCTGCGGGAAATTACCTGTTTCTTGATACCATCCACTATTATCTCAGACAAAGCTAAAGTGCTTAAAATAACCTTTCTAAATAGGCTTCAGCGTAAATATCGCCATGTTTGACACAATACGAAATCGCGATTCATAGCATTATTTGCTGTACAGTATGTTTTCAAATGTGAAAATCGGATAATTACTGGGAGTATTGAATTTCATAAATACCATATTAATGATAATTGAAATCAGTTTTTCATGATATCACTAATGCTAAATCTGAAAGCTGCCGATGAACCTTGAATCGGTTGGGATGTTTTCGAAAATATACTTACACGAACGCCGAAGTGCGCTTTCCGCTATATTGGATAGTGTTTACAAAATCACGTCTCGCGAAGGCCGGTATTGAGACGCCTATTACATCACGTATATTTCATAGTCAGCTGCGACAAATGCATCACTGAATTCCCCATTTTGTGTAAAACTGTCTGTTGAGGTATGAGGTTGATGTTCTAGACTGTGTACACTTTTCTACGTATACCTGAAAGACTGTAGTTTTTGATCCTAAATGTTAAAACCACCTCATGGTCATTATTTATACCACAGATTATTATGTAGCAGTGACATTCTTTGTGTAACAACGTTCCAAGTGTATAACATTGTAAATGTGGATAGTCCGTGAGGGGCAGAGTTTTAGAATGTACTACAACCCGTTATATTAGGTCTTTCAGTGTGTTCTAATGCTCAGAACATTATATAGAGATGTAGCATCTTTTCCTTTTGAGTATAATAGGGGGAGCTACCTCTTACCTCTCATCTCAAGCTGCAAGAAGACCAGCATTTTGTGCGATGATATTTGTACCCCGCCAGGCCTGGTTGCAACTTGGATTACTTTTGTTGATTAGCTTTCTGATTAATGCTACCATCTCATATTCTATTGCTGTAATCTCTGCTCTGGTATTAGGTTACCTTTGAATTTGTATTGCACCCTATTTTGTTCTGTCATAGCGAAACCTGTGTTGTAATTTGTACTGATTTTTTAACATAGTTAATTTTGGAATAAAATAGTTAATTACATCATACTGCTAACGTGTTTGTTGTTTCACACCTAGTGCTTCTATGGGGTGATTCCCGGTTAACTTTTTCGTTTCAACTTGGAAGTCAACAGGGAAGAAGATAAACTGATGAACTGTACTGGCCTTTTGTCTGTAGACTAATCATCTAGACCACTTGATGCTGTCATGCAAGGTATTATCTCAGTACTCCATAAAAGTGTTTGTGTAAGAGCTAAAGTGATAATGTCATCACGACCATGAACTTAGGTCACATCCCGATATCACTTTATCTGTGACACTCTGCAGACATTTAGACATGTCAGCTATTGTTTTGTTCGTAAACAAAGTTGAAAAAAATACTTCACCTTGACCTCATAAAAATATTTATCGGAGCAGTCCATTCAGAACAAGGGGAAACCAAAACGCAAACTCATTACGTCAGAGCTCTTGCAAAGTCTTGACGCCAGCAAAAGTAACCCATAAGCTGAGATAATGGGATATACCTTAATTGATTTTCAGTCTGTGTATTGCCTAATAATAGATTGCCCCTGTGAAAAGTCATATGTTTGTCAGCATCACGTCAATACCCATTTTCTGTCTCGGTCTTGACGTTCACATTAGTTTCATGTATGAAACATGGAACATATAACCAGATGTAAAAAAGGTCAAACTTCACTCAGAATGTCTCTCTCGCCATGTAAACAAAGGTTCTATACTAATCTTGTTAATCATTTTGGCACTCAGATGTGCACTCTGTTTGATTAAAACAAATTAACATAGGCTTCATTCTTCAAAATGGTATACTCGGCAGATCTGAACACAATATTACCCACGAGATTGATAGTCTATACAAATGTGTGTGCACGTCTATGCGTGTGTTGTGTTACAAACCAAGAGACATGGTGTTTTCTGTACAAACACCGAGGGAAGTACACTGGCGTGACTTTAAGCCTACAGTGTCTAAATAAACCTACACTGACTTAGAGAATGACAAACGGGCATCGAAGACCTACGGTTGACCTTTCCTGAGTAAAGGAATGGTGTTAGACCCGTCTTTGGCGAGGTACACACATCATTCACTCACGAGGGAGAGATAAACTGTATTTCCGACATTCAAGTAGGCTATTCCATATACTAGTATCTCAACAGTATTGAAAATCGCTATAAGCACATGTGCAAATGCATGGGCGGTTCCAGGAATTTTCAAAGGAGGGGGTTCAGGGGTTCGGAACATTGTGACCTCCTCTCTATACCCTCCTCTCTAACTTTAGTCATTTTCAAAAGGGGAAGGGGGTACCCCCTGAGCACACACACACACACTCACACACACACCTGGATCCGCCAATGAAATGTCGGAATAATTAAAACACGTTCTTTCTTTTGTTGTAATGTGATTATTGTCACGACCTTGTACATGGCGTTCGTATTATGTCAGACATGGGGTTATGCATAGGGTCATTTATATGCGATGTCAAATGGCGTAATGTAAGAAAATACATTTAATGGAAACCAACAACGTAGATGTAAACCATTCAAACTGAAAAATATGCTTTGAAAATTAGATTACTCCCGGGAATGGACATAAATATCAAGTTTAACACTTTAAGCTTGTTTTTTTCCCATGATGACAGCAATAGGTTCGTCACACAACTTTCATTCAAATTTACATCAGACTCAAATTCTAGGATGATATTGAACGTGCATGTAACATGTCTATGTGTATGTCAGGTTATATTTGTATATCCTTTTTCCAGTTAGTTCTGTCAATAGCATTCTTAATGAGTTTTTGTTTGAAAATATCATTGTAAAAATGTACACCTGGTTTAAGGTAAAACACGACTGTCAACCGCAGACATGCGTGCCTAAAGTCCCA